AAATGAGGGAAAGTTGTGCATATTGATGTCGGCCTCACCTGCCAGCTGATTCCTGAGAGGCATAGGAAAGCATCTAAGGTAAGAGGTGAGTAGAACCTGGGGGTCATACCGAACCCCAAGGACACAGATCATACGCTCTACAGCGTCAGTGGCCTCTCTTACTGACTTAAACTGCCTCGTGTGCAGTGTCAGGATCTCGTCGGTAGCCTTTTGAGCCTCCTGCGGATCATGCCACCTGTCTTCCACCAACCTGAGGAAGTCATCCAATTTCTGGGTGGCCGCCCAAGCGCGAAAGTCATGATTGTACCCCTGTGGTTGCACTAAACCGCTCAACCATCTTGCTGCACTCCCCTCTAGATAGCAGGCAGCCACAAACACTTCCTCGTGTGGCAAGGTAAGTTTGCATTTGACGTAGACCGACACTGCCCTCAACCAAGTGTCGAGGTTTTCGCCCCTCTTATCCCCTGTAAAGGGTTTAGGAGCGGTGATGGTCGTTTTTGGAACCCACTGACTTTGTCCCGGTACCTTCACCAATCCGGGCTGTGGACCCTGTGGTGCAGGCTGCTACACTAGCTGCTGGGGCTGTGAACCCTGCGGCTATGCAGGCTGCCCGCTTACGGCAACCTGTGACGGAGGTTGGGTGAACACTGTCTGTACAGGAACCTGCAAACTAGGACCTGCTGAGAACCCGCCTATTAAAGGCATACCCAGGGAGACAGGCTGAACCGATGCTGGAGCAGTATATGGGGATACCCCAGTCACCTGTGGGACAAAACGAGGAGGATGTACAACGGGTCAGACACCAGGCCCGGACAGTGATGGTGTCACCTGCGCTCACCCGACCAACACGGCCAGACTCTGCTGGATGTCTTGTAAGATTGTCGTCTGTTGATCTTGCATCTCTACTACTCCTAGCAAGACCGACCTCTGGGTCCTCACTTCATCATCCAACTCCGCTGGGTCCATCTCCTCTAACTCGCTAATGCCCGCTTGTCGCCACTGCAACCTGGCTCTTCTTCTAATCATTCTTTCTTTTTCGGCCTTAATCTCTCCTAAAGCCTTTTGTAGTTGTGCCTCGCAATCAGCAGCTCGCTGTATGGCGACCTCCTCGGGAGTCAACACTAATGTCTGGCTTGCCATGACGCCAGTGGATTGACTCACGGTCTGTGCGACCGTTGACCCCTTAGAACCTGAACCACTAACCTGAGAATTTTGTTGTACAGCAGTGGCCATGGTTGCTGAAGTAGCGGCTTCGCTTGCCAATGCTTTGCTTGCCTCTGCGTCCCTAGCTCTTCTCTGTTGCTGCTGCCTCTCTCTTTGTTGGCGGAACAAGTATTTGTCGCCCTCTGGTCCTAACGCCAAATGGGCAATTGGGCGTCTAGCTGATCGCAAGAGCCTATTGTCTGGTTGTGGAACCTCCCTGTCAATCATAAGCTACAGTACTCCACACTGTTTGCACTAGGACACTCAATCGATGCCTACCGCAGCGACATGTACAGACCGATTTATTAATAATCGGTGGCTGTTTCAAAGAATGTACATTTGGGTCCAGATTCCTACAAACGAAAACTATTTTACTTTGACTAGTCCACGAACAGAAGCACAAGGAACAGAAAACAGTTCTAACTAATGCTGTCAGTCAGATGTTAATGGTTGTACATCTAACTAATCAAAATAAAAATAGAATCGTTTGTTGGGTCTGTTTGCAGAATGGGATCTTGCCCGAACTTATCATATGGAATCTACCCCTCCCTCAATTCGTCTTGAATGTTTCTTGTCATCAACGTCCCTGAGCGATCCAGATAGCGTGCGTGTTTAAAGGTGTGCACACGGCCCACCCCTGTGCCCCCAGTCCTGCTGAGCTGGCCAGCCCTGCACTATATTTATGCTCGCGTGCAGCGAGCCTTACACCGACCGATTGGCTGATCAGGAGGCGTTTATATGGACGGCCCCCGAAGTCCTCAGGAATTCTTTAACGTCGCAGACAGGACGACAATCACAGCCAATGGAAGGTACCCCGCCGGTGCTTATTTATAGACGCCCAGTCTCGTCTGTCCCACAGGGCTGGCCTGCCCTTCATAACCCCTCTACAGCGCAGCGAGCAGACAAAGGACAAAGCAGCAAAGCATGCGTGCTCTACTCCCGGTGGGTTGGCATGGTGACCGTGACCTAGTGCTTCGTCCATGGCCCTTCAGATAGCACCGCCCTCTCCTTCCAGATGCTCCACGTGAAGGCAGACAAGTCTCAAGGTTGAGCGCACACGACTCCTCACATGAGAGGACTCTCAAGACAGAATACACATCCTCACGGTAAGAAGTGTCGAAGAGGGTAGGTAAGGTTAGGTGCAACGTACCTCAAAATAGCTGCCCCCAACCACATGTATTCTCACCAGATGACCCGATGTCGATTGTGATGATTGCTTCGGCACAACCAGCATTGCACAACCGTTCCACCTCAGCATCAATCACACACCGGATAGTTCTCATCACACTGCGAACACCCAATAATCACACCACATAGCCTTCCTGGCGATACCCCTCACCACCTGGGTCGCCTACTTATCTCCGCCCTCCTCACTACACACGTCCCACGGCACGGTCGCTCACCGCACACACCGCGTGCATGTACCGCATTAGGCAGAAGATAAGCGCTAGATTAGCGCACCGAACCACAACTCCGATACCAAATTGCAAGGAAGATGAGCAATAGCGAACTTCAGCAATCAAACAACATCATACACATGAGACCAGATAGTCGTGACCTCGAACCAAAAGCAGAATTGCATCACGAGTTTCACCAAATAGGAGCACACCAAAAGCTCATAGTTGACAATGCTGGAATAGTCTCATCATCATCAACGAAGAACCAATGTTGATATCCTATCTGGCGCTCGGCGCCCAGACTACAAATGGCAGATCCTATCTAGCCTAGACTACAATGTCGCTGATGACGTCAACAGCTTACCAAGTACGAGCAGACCTCGGCCAATGCCGCACGCGTCAAGCACCAGGTATGTCTCTCGTATCACTCACAACCTCGTTCCCCAACTCACAGATGCCACTTGCACCCAAGGACCACCATGCGCCCCATCCAGCATACAGCAGCGCAGCTCGGCTATGGCTGCCTGCTCCTTCCAGCTCGCCCGTGAGCGCGTGAGCCTGGCAGGCGATAGCGCAGCAGCGCTTGCGCACAAAGCAGCCAGTCCCCGAATGTCCAATGCGTGAGCAGGCCCTTGCCTATATCGAAGTGGCCTGCTGCTGTGTGCTGCCTTGCGGTACTGGGCCTTGGCACAGAAGCTTCCGGCAGGCCCGGGGAGGCTGAGCCTCTGCCCAAACAAAACAGGCCCAGGGCCTCCGACAGTTACCCGTGCCCAACTGCTCACAGCCTATGCGGGGTCCATCCTGCGTATCTCGCCCAGGGCCTGGCTTAGATACATTTGATAAAAGGAAGCCAAGGGCCTGGGTGCCTTCAACCAACAACCGCTGCGCAACTGCCTGAAATTCTCCAGTTGCGGATTGAGCCCAAAAATAGGCCTGTAGGCTTCGGCCGGGCCTGCCTTCACTTAGGGCGGCCGATTGTACTGAAACCGGGGCCCTGTAGGGGTGTGTTTGAGGCCTTGTGCCTCGCAATAGTCTTTGATTTAGCAAACATGACTCTAGATCGCTTCACGAGAGTCTTAGCCAATGGTTCGTGAGTGATATTCAAAAGTACCGTTCGCTGTAAAAGGTGTCGTACTTGAGCAATATCAATGTCGATTGAGAAAGGAACCCTTAGCATCAGTCTCTTCCTTATATTAACACCGTACTTCCTGATTGCTAGACAACACTGTAGGATCCCCCTGTTGTTCTTTGATGCAATCGTACGCATTCCGGAGTAGAGATCGATCAGGCGGGTTAATGAGCAGTAGTATAGTTTAGCTCTAGTCCATGGTGCTCGGAGAAGGGAAAGAAGCTTCCTCCTGATCCTGTCGTGTTTACGGGTATATTCAACACAACAGGAAACTTGGAATAGGCATCCTTCTTCGATCTGAGATCTGCTTTCACGCAAGGTGATCTTCTCTTCGTCCAGAATAATTATGTTGTCTCCGAGTCGACTCTTAATTACTTTCCATGCCTCAACCCATAGATTACCAGAAAAGGACTGAATCACAACATGGGTTTGACAATTCCGGCGGTTTCTTCATTTCTTTCTATATCGTTCCTTCCCATTAATCTTAGATCGGTGTAGTGTGTTAAGATAAGGATTCCATTTTTGGATGAGCTTCCTTTCCACGTGTGCGACATCAGTAGTACTCCCAACCCATATCGGAATACACACATACTGGTGTACTCCGAACTTATTGATCCACGAGTAAAGCTTCCGATGCTGCCTCTTTTCCTTTCGGATAACAGCTGCAGCATGTTCTCTCAATCGGATATGGATTCCCCTAATTGTCTTACCTATATAGATATGTCGGCACCACGGAGATATGCAAACTTTGCTCTGAATGAGAACACATACGTCAGTATGAAGCCGGTTAATCAAATCACCAATCCATCTGCTCCATGTGATCTGGGATCTGCGTAGCAAAGCGATCATGCAAATCCGGTAAGCTCGGTTAACTACCCGACACTCCTTCCACTGCTTACTACTGACGAGAACAGCAAGTGAACTACTACAGCACTGCACGAAGTTCCTGTGAGCGACAACCAAGTTAATCCTAGTTGCTCGATGGGTGCACGTCCTTCGATGGTTCAGCTTCGGCGGAATCAGCGGCCTCATCTGACTCGTCAACCTCCTCCTCATCTTCTTCCGAAGAAGTCGTGTTAGATCCTTCTGTGGGCTCAGATAGTGGTTCCTTACCATGTACTTCATCGCCAGGCTCAGCGTAATCTGTGAGATCCTCCGTGATGTTGACGATCAGCCCGGATGCAACACGAGCTTGCGGGATTCCTTTGTACCGTACGTTATACTTAGCGCAAAGCTTCTTGAGATCGTCCATCTGCAGCGCACCAAGCATGCTTTCGGATAACTATCTACCTTCAAGTATCCGCCACCTTGCTGAGAGACGAACTCCATTAGGACGCCCGCCTTTCTAGACCACTGGCTTCTTCACACCACTTGGACCGGCACCGATGGCGTTAGGTGTCTTCTTCGGAGTCTTGTTCAATGGAGCTCTCGGCTTCAGAGAGGTGAATGGTTTTGTGAGGGGAGACTTGTAAGCGTTGATCTGTCCTTGGAGATTGGCCAGATCATATCGAAGCTCCTTCATATCTTCGAGTTGCCTCTTAAGAGTTGCCATCCTAGCTGCTTCATCGGTCTTAGCTTTCGCGATGCGCTTCGATTGGTCCCTTCCCACATCGATCTTCTTCCCGGATTCAGACATCGCCCCCAGCACCGCTTTGTCAACTGCCTGCTTCAGCATGTCAGCGGTGATCGCGCCAGCCGGTTTCTTCGTAGCTTGTGCTCGGAACTCGTCCGAGAGCTTATCCACTCTCTTCCTCAGACGGTAGAGCTCGCGGCGCAAGGCGTACATTTCGTCGCTCAAGTCAACAGTGAACCAGACTCTATTTCCTGGTGCCGGTTTGTTCAATGCGAACTCGCTTCGGCGATCGTCTTGCCAGTCATTTCTCCCTCTATCGCTAGATAAGTTGTGTCTTTGTCGCCTACTAGAGGTAGAAGAAGACCTCAATCTACGCTTCTCACATCTCCGTAATTTCTCATCATTGGATCTGTCCGGCGAACGATCAGTTCTACGAGCAGGAGATCTCGCACGTCGCAAATCGTCCTTCTTACTCCTTCGAGTCGGTGACCTACATCTTGACCTCGTTCGTGATCGTCCCATGATCTGAAGTTGAAGCCGAGCTTGGTGGTGATCGCCACGATCGCACGTTGTTACCGCCCCGTATGTTCGCACAAGTGGGAAAATAATAATGGTGAATAACTACGAAATGAGTGCACAACCCGCCAACAGATTCAAGACCGAGTACAAATTAGTGTTAATTATACATGCACGGACAACAAATCGATAACACCATCGCTGCGCCTGAGACGGGTGACAGATACGCCGCACGGAACTAAGAGTCGCAAAGGTAAGATGAGATGAAGAAGACACACCAAGGCGGCAAAGGTTATGCAGTACAAAACGAGATAGGTTAATCAACAGGAACTCGAACGTTTCGAGAATGGCCAAAATGCCAAAAAGTTAGAATCGAATGCCATAACACTCTAAGTGAGTATGTAATGTGCGAACCAACGAATCTAACAAAACGCGAAAGATCGCCACACGCCTAGCTGAAAAAAATGGTCGGATGATAAAGATCGCCTACGAAGAGTGTCGCCAATGGAGTACGTTGAACAACGCAGAAAAAGAAAGCAAAATTCCCAGACGCCTAAAGAATGGATGAATAATACAACACTTGCCAGCTTGGGAACAACATCGCGCTGCTTCGATACCCATAAGATAGAGACACACGAAAAAACCTCGTAATGGAACCAGTCCACACGAGGGCTGCTTGTCGACCAACACGGGTATTATCGCCCGTATGCTCAAGACAAGTTGTATGAAGACACTCAATACACTTAGCACAAAATGTGAGGCTTTACTCTTGAGGAGGACATAATGTGCCAGATCAAAAAGATGGTTGCACGTGGGCAACCAGCATCGCCCTTCTGCCTCGTCCACTCAGGCAATGATGATATCTCACTCTCAGCTTAAATAGTGTCTCCATAGCCTCAACTATGAATGCTACGAAATCCTCAGACGGTCACCAACCGACTTTCTCCTTCCTCGAATCATCTTGCTCGTCGTGAGAACGTAAAAGGTTATCCTCCTAGCCGTTCTGCAATCAAACAGCCGATGTCGTAGTCCCAAAACCCTTGTCCTCAGAGTCCCGTAAATTTTCCAACTGCCGGTGACAGGGAGTGCCTATATGCTTCGTCGGCAGCTTCGACACTCTGCCCAAAAAATGTATTTGTTCACAAAAAAAATAATTTCCCTTAATACCTTAAATACCTTAAATACCAGCCGACGCTAAAATCGACTAGTGTAGTATAACTGTAGGTACCGTAACTGTTAAGAAACGGTTACAAAGATGTTTAGTCTCGAGCTCAGGCTCTTAACCAATATACTTGTTAAGCCATGTCAGAATGGCCCTGGCTGTTCGTCTCTGCATCTTAGTCCGAGAGATTGTGAGAACTGACTGTCTAAGCAGCCTCTTCGAGTACCGGAGTAGCAGAGCTTCTGTGGAGAATAGCTTGATAATCAGGATTGCTTCTTGCTCAACCGGCGTGTTGGAGAGGAGACGGTGCAAAGTCCCAAGTATGGTTAGTGCTTTATGCTTGACTGGGCCGAAACTCCTGAAGTGTTTGATCATATGAAACTTCCCAGAAAACACAGTTCAACGCACTGCAAGACAGTGTCACACACAAGCACATATGTGCAAACACAATGTTGCACACTCTCTCTCTCACCCCCCAACCCCCTCTCTCACACCCACACACATGCACACACATGCACACACGAACTGGGTGTTGTAGAACTCTCTCACACAAACTTGCCTACATCTCTCTCTCTCTCTCTCTCTCTCTCTCTCTCTCTCTCTCTCTCTCTCTCTCTCTCTCTCTCT